GAGAGAGTCTGACCTGTTGCATGGTCTACAGAGAGAGAGTCTGACCTGTTGCATGGTCTACAGAGAGAGAGAGTCTGACCTGTTGCATGGTCTACAGAGAGAGAGTCTGACCTGTTGCATGGTCTACAGAGAGAGAGTCTGACCTGTTGCATGGTCTACAGAGAGAGAGTCTGACCTGTTGCATGGTCTACAGAGAGAGAGTCTAAGCTGTTGCATGGTCTACAGAGAGAGAGTCTGACCTGTTGCATGGTCTTCAGAGAGAGAGTCTGACCTGTTGCATGGTCTTCAGAGAGAGAGTCTGACCTGTTGCATGGTCTACAGAGAGAGAGAGTCTGACCTGTTGCATGGTCTTCAGAGGAGAGTCTACCTGTTGCATGGTCTACAGAGAGAGAGTCTGACCTGTTGCATGGTCTTCAGGAGAGAGTCTGACCTGTTGCATGGTCTACAGAGAGAGAGTCTAAACCTGTTGCATGGTCTACAGAGAGAGAGCGTCTGACCTGTTGCATGGTCTTCAGAGAGAGTCTAACCTGTTGCATGGTCTACAGAGAGAGAGTCTAACCTGTTGCATGGTCTACAGAGAGAGAGTCTGACCTGTTGCATGGTCTACAGAGAGAGAGAGTCTAAGCTGTTGCATGGTCTTCAGAGAGAGTCTGACTAAGCTGTTGCATGGTCTTCAGAGAGAGAGTCTGACCTGTTGCATGGTCTTCAGAGAGAGAGTCTGACCTGTTGCATGGTCTACAGAGAGAGAGTCTAAGCTGTTGCATGGTCTTCAGAGAGAGAGTCTGACCTGTTGCATGGTCTACAGAGAGAGAGTCTAAGCTGTTGCATGGTCTTCAGAGAGAGAGTCTAAGCTGTTGCATGGTCTTCAGAGAGAGAGTCTGACCTGTTGCATGGTCTTCAGAGAGAGAGTCTGACCTGTTGCATGGTCTACAGAGAGAGAGTCTGACCTGTTGCATGGTCTACAGAGAGAGAGTCTGAACTGTTGCATGGTCTTCAGAGAGAGAGTCTGACCTGTTGCATGGTCTACAGAGAGAGAGTCTAAGCTGTTGCATGGTCTACAGAGAGAGAGTCTAACCTGTTGCATGGTCTTCAGAGAGAGAGTCTAAGCTGGTTGCATGTCTTCAGAGAGAGAGTCTGACCTGTTGCATGGTCTTCAGAGAGAGAGTCTGACCTGTTGCATGGTCTACAGAGAGAGAGAGTCTGACCTGTTGCATGGTCTACAGAGAGAGAGTCTAAGCTGTTGCATGGTCTACAGAGAGAGAGTCTAACCTGTTGCATGGTCTACAGAGAGAGAGTCTAACCTGTTGCATGGTCTACAGAGAGAGAGTCTGAACTGTTGCATGGTCTACAGAGAGAGAGTCTAACCTGTTGCATGGTCTTCAGAGAGAGAGTCTGACCTGTTGCATGGTCTACAGAGAGAGAGTCTAAGCTGTTGCATGGTCTACAGAGAGAGAGTCTAACCTGTTGCATGGTCTTCAGAGAGAGAGTCTAAGCTGTTGCATGGTCTTCAGAGAGAGAGTCTGACCTGTTGCATGGTCTTCAGAGAGAGAGTCTGACCTGTTGCATGGTCTACAGAGAGAGAGAGTCTGACCTGTTGCATGGTCTTCAGAGAGAGAGTCTAACCTGTTGCATGGTCTACAGAGAGAGAGTCTGACCTGTTACATGGTCTACAGAGAGAGAGTCTGACCTGTTGCATGGTCTACAGAGAGAGAGAGTCTAACCTGTTGCATGGTCTACAGAGAGAGAGTCTGACCTGTTGCATGGTCTACAGAGAGAGAGTCTGACCTGTTACATGGTCTACAGAGAGAGAGAGTCTGACCTGTTGCATGGTCTACAGAGAGAGAGAGTCTAACCTGTTGCATGGTCTACAGAGAGAGAGTCTGACCTGTTGCATGGTCTACAGAGAGAGAGTCTGACCTGTTACATGGTCTACAGAGAGAGAGTCTAAGCTGTTGCATGGTCTACAGAGAGAGAGTCTGACCTGTTGCATGGTCTTCAGAGAGAGAGTCTGACCTGTTGCATGGTCTACAGAGAGAGAGTCTGACCTGTTGCACGGTCTTCAGAGAGTCTAACCTGTTGCATGGTCTTCAGAGAGAGAGTCTGACCTGTTGCACGGTCTTCAGAGAGAGAGTCTAACCTGTTGCATGGTCTACAGAGAGAGAGAGTCTAACCTGTTGCATGGTCTACAGAGAGAGAGTTTGACCTGTTGCATGGTCTACAGAGAGAGAGAGTCTAACCTGTTGCATGGTCTTCAGAGAGAGAGTCTGACCTGTTACATGGTCTACAGAGAGAGAGAGTCTAACCTGTTTGCATGGTCTTCAGAGAGAGAGAGTCTGACCTGTTGCATGGTCTACAGAGAGAGAGAGTCTAACCTGTTGCATGGTCTTCAGAGAGAGAGTCTGACCTGTTACATGGTCTACAGAGAGAGAGTCTAACCTGTTGCATGGTCTACAGAGAGAGAGAGTCTGACCTGTTGCATGGTCTACAGAGAGAGAGTCTGACCTGTTGCATGGTCTACAGAGAGAGAGTCTGACCTGTTGCACGGTCTTCAGAGAGTCTAACCTGTTGCATGGTCTTCAGAGAGAGAGTCTGACCTGTTGCACGGTCTTCAGAGAGAGAGTCTAACCTGTTGCATGGTCTTCAGAGAGAGAGTCTAACCTGTTGCATGGTCTTCAGAGAGAGTCTGACCTGTTGCATGGTCTACAGAGAGAGAGTCTAACCTGTTGCATGGTCTACAGAGAGAGAGTCTGACCTGTTGCACGGTCTTCAGAGAGTCTAACCTGTTGCATGGTCTTCAGAGAGAGAGTCTGACCTGTTGCACGGTCTTCAGAGAGAGAGTCTAACCTGTTGCATGGTCTACAGAGAGAGAGTCTAACCTGTTGCATGGTCTTCAGAGAGAGAGTCTGACCTGTTGCATGGTCTACAGAGAGAGAGTCTAACCTGTTGCATGGTCTACAGAGAGAGAGTCTAACCTGTTGCACGGTCTACAGAGAGAGAGTCTAACCTGTTGCATGGTCTACAGAGAGAGAGTCTAACCTGTTGCATGGTCTACAGAGAGAGAGTCTAACCTGTTGCATGGTCTACAGAGAGAGAGTCTAACCTGTTGCATGGTCTACAGAGAGAGAGTCTAACCTGTTGCATGGTCTACAGAGAGAGAGAGTCTGACCTGTTGCATGGTCTACAGAGAGAGAGTCTGACCTGTTGCATGGTCTTCAGAGAGAGAGTCTAACCTGTTGCATGGTCTACAGAGAGAGAGTCTAACCTGTTGCATGGTCTACAGAGAGAGAGTCTGACCTGTTACATGGTCTTCAGAGAGAGAGTCTAACCTGTTGCATGGTCTACAGAGAGAGAGTCTGACCTGTTGCATGGTCTACAGAGAGAGAGTCTAACCTGTTGCATGGTCTACAGAGAGAGAGTCTAACCTGTTGCATGGTCTACAGAGAGAGAGTCTAACCTGTTGCATGGTCTACAGAGAGAGAGAGTCTGACCTGTTGCATGGTCTTCAGAGAGAGAGTCTGACCTGTTGCATGGTCTACAGAGAGAGAGTCTGACCTGTTGCATGGTCTACAGAGAGAGAGTCTGACCTGTTGCATGGTCTTCAGAGAGAGAGTCTGACCTGTTGCATGGTCTTCAGAGAGAGAGTCTGACCTGTTGCATGGTCTACAGAGAGAGAGTCTGACCTGTTGCACGGTCTACAGAGAGAGAGTCTGACCTGTTGCACGGTCTTCAGAGAGTCTAACCTGTTGCATGGTCTACAGAGAGAGAGTCTGACCTGTTGCACGGTCTTCAGAGAGTCTAACCTGTTGCATGTTCTACAGAGAGAGAGTCTGACCTGTTGCACGGTCTTCAGAGAGTCTGGCCTGTTGCATGGTCTACAGAGAGTCTGACCTGTTGCATGGTCTACAGAGAGTCTGGCCTGTTGCATGGTCTTCAGAGAGTCTGACCTGTTGCATGGTCTACAGAGAGAGAGTCTGACCTGTTGCACGGTCTTCAGAGAGTCTGACCTGTTGCATGGTCTACAGAGAGAGAGTCTGACCTGTTGCATGGTCTTCAGAGAGAGAGTCTGGCCTGTTGCATGGTCTTCAGAGAGTCTGGCCTGTTGCATGGTCTACAGAGAGAGAGTCTGACCTGTTGCACGGTCTTCAGAGAGTCTGGCCTGTTGCATGGTCTACAGAGAGAGAGTCTAACCTGTTGCATGGTCTTCAGAGAGAGAGTCTGGCCTGTTGCATGGTCTTCAGAGAGAGAGTCTAACCTGTTGCATGGTCTACAGAGAGTCTGACCTGTTGCATGGTCTTCAGAGAGAGAGTCTGGCCTGTTGCATGGTCTTCAGAGAGAGAGTCTGACCTGTTGCATGGTCTTCAGAGAGAGAGTCTAACCTGTTGCATGGTCTTCAGAGAGAGAGTCTGACCTGTTGCATGGTCTACAGAGAGAGAGTCTGACCTGTTGCATGGTCTTCAGAGAGAGAGTCTGACCTGTTGCATGGTCTTCAGAGAGAGAGTCTAACCTGTTGCATGGTCTACAGAGAGAGAGTCTGACCTGTTGCATGGTCTTCAGAGAGAGAGTCTAACCTGTTGCATGGTCTTCAGAGAGAGAGTCTAACCTGTTGCATGGTCTACAGAGAGTCTGACCTGTTGCATGGTCTACAGAGAGAGAGTCTGACCTGTTGCATGGTCTTCAGAGAGAGAGTCTGACCTGTTGCATGGTCTTCAGAGAGAGAGTCTAACCTGTTGCATGGTCTTCAGAGAGTCTGACCTGTTGCATGGTCTTCAGAGAGAGAGTCTGACCTGTTGCATGGTCTTCAGAGAGAGAGTCTAACCTGTTGCATGGTCTTCAGAGAGAGAGTCTGACCTGTTGCATGGTCTTCAGAGAGAGAGTCTGACCTGTTGCATGGTCTTCAGAGAGAGAGTCTGACCTGTTGCATGGTCTTCAGAGAGAGAGTCTAACCTGTTGCACGGTCTTCAGAGAGTCTAACCTGTTGCACGGTCTTCAGAGAGTCTAAC